ACACCCACTGCACGCCAGCGCAGACACCCACTGCACATCAGCCCACACCCACTGCACACTGGCGCAGACACCCACTGCACATCAGCACACACCCACTGCACACCGGCGCAGACACCCACTGCACATCAGCACACACCCACTGCATGCCAGTGCACAATCACTGCACGTCAGCCCACACCCACTGAAGCCAGCCCACACCCACTGCACACCAGCCCACACCCACTGCACGCGGGCGCACATCCACTGCACGCCCGTGCAGACACCCACCTCACACCAGAGCAGACACTGCCCGCAGGCCAGGGCACACCCACCACACGCCCGCGGACGCCCGGCGCCCAGACACTGTGCGCCCCTCCCGGGGTGTCCGCACACCAGCTCGCAGGTGCTGTGAGCGGCACCTGCACGCCGGCAGGCTGGACGCGAAGTTCGCGGGGCCAGAGCGGAAGTGGGGGTGGGGTCTGCTCCCCAGGCCCTTTCTCATGCAGATGGCGCCTCCCTCCCACCGAAGGGCCGGGGCCCAGCTTCCAGGAAAGGGGAGGTGGGGGCGGGCGGGGCAGGCACGCGCGCATGCGTGCATGGCGCAGCCCTCTGACCGGGCCACCCAGAAGCCCGCGCCCGGCCTGCGGTGACCTCGGCCCTGAGTCCTCGCGCCCGCGGCCCAGGGACATGGTGGCCGGGCTCCTTTCCGATGGGACAGCCCGTCGCGCTCGCTGGCCCTGTCCCGCGCCCGGAGCCACGCGTCGGGCTCCCGGCGGGGGAGGGGAAGCGGGCAGGGGGCCGCCGGCAGGCCTGGGGTGTCTGGTCTCCGGCTGGCTCCCCTCCCCCACCCCGCGGACAATGGGCGTCTCGCGGGACTGGACGTTCCCCGGGCCCCGTCCCGCATCCCCGGGCCCGCGGCCGCCGTGCTGGGAGGAGGCGGCCCAGGTCGCAGCACACGTGAGGCTGCAGTGCCCAGGCCCGACCCCTGGGCCGTGGGGCCGCGGGTGCCCGGGCAGGGCTGGCTGGGGCGGCCCGGGCCTGGTCGGGCCTGGTCGGGAAGGTCGTTGGCCCCGGGGTCACCCTGCCCCGAGGGCCCGTGGGCGGGGCCTGGGCAGTCTGGTGTGGGACCAGAGGCCTGAGCTGGCCCAGCGAGGTCTGGGGCTGCGCGGGGCCAGCGTCCCCGCAGGAAAGTGGACCCCGCGTCCAGCAGCCAGCTGCCCTGCACAGCCCGCGGGGCGCTGGACCTTCCCTCCACCTCCCTCCTGACCTTGTGGTGGCTGGCGGTGGCCGCACCGCCCTCGGGGGCCGAGGGCCCACGTGCCTGTCCTGCCACCCCAGGTGGGCCCGGCCCCTGGGGTCCAGCAGGCACACACAGGCGGCCAGCGGCTCCCAGGACGCCC